TTTCTCATTACAAGTCTTACAGAATTATTTGATTATTTAAACCAGGTACCTTTATGACTTTGATAAAAAACACAAGTGAAATTTAATTAACTAAAAATCAAAAACTCCCTGCTTGCTCCCCACTTGCAGCTCTCCATCAGGCCCTGCAAGCCAGGGGCAGGCCTAGGGAACTGTCTCCTCCTCCAGGGCAGGACCCTCTGCGTCCTGGAGTCCAGGTCTTCCTCCCCTGCCCCACCGTGGCCCGTCTGTCTCGGCTGCCTCCCTCCCCCACTGGCCGCCTCCCACCTTTCTTCTCCCCATCTGGTGGGGAGGAACCAGGCAGGGGGGACCAGCCCTGCCCACAAGCAACAGCCGTGCCCTGGCCCTTCTGGTCTGTACTCCCTGCCCTGCCCCCAGTACTGCCCGTGGTGGTAGGAAACTTCAAGAAGTTGCTCCTGCTTCCCGGGAGGTGAACTGGGGACAGCGGGCCATGCTCCATCACTTCCAAGACATCTCGCCTAATTACCCAGCGTGCTATTCATTTGGACGTCAGCGCTGCCGCATGCCTGTGCCTTTAATTAATAATTTGGTAAAACTCCATGCAGAGCCTGGCCCGGGCAGTGCAGCAGGGACTGCTGGGCTGGGCCAAATCTGGGTGGGTGAGGCTGGTGAGGACCCCCTGCCCCGCTGCCAGCAAGCACAGAGGCCTTGGGCTGGAACCCAGGGCCCTGGGTTCTTGTCCCCAACTGTTCCCATCAGGCCACGGAGCCCGAGGTGAAGCCCCTTCAGGGACCCTTCCAGGAGAGGGCAGGAAAACAGACCCAGAGGGGTGCACATGCACCAGTGACAGGGGCCTGAGTCGGGGAGCTGTCTCCCCTAAAGCCTGGGCTGGCCTTCAGGTCCTGGAGGGTTGGGAGCCCAGGAGCCTAGGGGGAGGGGGGAGGTGTGGTTGAAAGGGCAGAGGAGCTGGGCTCAGACCCAGGCTCAAACAGGCCAATGCCTGTGGCCAGAGAGTGGGCGGCAGGGGAGGGGTCCTTGGGACAACTAGGACCATGCTGGGCATCCTCCCTGGACCTGATCATAAAGAGCCACATCCAGCCCTGCATATCTCCAGTCCTGGTGGCCCCAAGAGAGGGGAGGGTGGGCAGGCTGGGGTCTCTGAGGCCTGGAATCCTGACGTGCCTGGTGTGACCTGCAATGGCCAGGCCAACCACCTTGTGGGAGCCTCTCTCACTCCCAGTCCCTGGGCAGGGTGGGGACCTGAGGAATGGGCGCAGAGGCTGCTGGGTTAACAGGAAAATCTATTTGGATCTGACTTGAGTGATGGAGTGGTTCAAGACTTATTCTTGGCTCTGGGGCGGGCTGTGGTCTGCAGAGATGGATATCATCGTGGCCCTATTTTCAAGGTTCTGCAGGAGGGAGCCAAGACACCACGGCACTTAGGGCCCCCACATGCCCTTCTGTGCTGGGGTGAGGGAGCAGAGCAGAGCCCCTGGGGGTGAGGGATGGAGGTCAGCAGGACGTACGTACCACCTCGAAGTCCCCTCTCCACTCCTCACATCCTCTGCTTTCCAGGTCTCTCTTGAATGACCCTGCCCAGCAGGTTTCCAGGCCTGACCTCGGCCCCCTCCAGCTGCTTCTGCACCCTCCCACCACCCTGCCACGTCCCCTCTACAGGAACCCCTAGGCTGGCCCACTCCCAGACCCTGACCCTTGCAGCACACTCCCCAAAGCCTGGCCTCCATGGAGAAGCTCTGGGCTGTATCCATGCCCAGTACCCTGGGGTGGGCCAGGGCTCTCAGCAAGCTGCTGAAATGCTCTCTCTCCATCTCATCTCTGATATGGCCTTGGTGTGGCCATTAGACAGGCCGAGGGGCCCATGGCACTCCACGCTGCTGTGGGTTCTCTTCCTTGAGGCTGCAGCTGAAACTCCAGTTCCTTTAAAGCTCAGACCCTCTCCCCCCAGCCCTCCCTGCCAGGCTTAACCCCCTGCTCAGCCGGCCCAGGGCTATACTCTGCCTCTGATGTCCTCCAACTGGTTCCTGGAACCCCGCTCCCCTGAGGTCAGACCCTCAGCTGAGGATCTAGGGGGGCCACAATTAGTTTCTGATGGCGTGGGCTTTGCACCTTTGGGGGCCTGTCTGCTTGAGGAGAGCCAGAAGCACTTGAAGGCAGATGTGGATTGAGCCCCATCCCTCTGTGACTCCCGCAGGGGACTCTGCCCTCCCCCTCTACCAAGGCTGAGCTAAGGTCACTGCTGGGGCATCTTGGGGGCGGGGAGAGGGCTCCTTAGAAACCACTCACAACAGACTGACCCAAAAAAGAAGATTCAAATTACTAAAGTCAGGAGTGAAGGTGGAGATGCTACCACCAACTTTGCAGAAATGGAAAGAAAACGTCATGAACAACTGTATGCCAACACTTTAGATACTGTGGGTGAAATGGACAAACTCCTAGAAACACACAAACTACCAACTGTTTCAAGAATAAATAGAAAATCTTCATAAACTACAAAGAAAGAGACTGAATCAGTAACGAAAACCCGCTCAACAAAGAAAAGTGCAGGCCCGGACAGCTCCCCTGGTGAATGCTACCTCAGGTTTACACAAGGATCAACACCAATCCTGCTCAAAGTCTTCCGAAAAAAAGAAGAGGAGGGAACACTTCCTCACTATTCTGTGAGGCCAATATTACCCTGATATCAAAGCCAGACAAAGACATCACAAGAAAAAAAAGACTACAGACCAATATCCCTTATGAATATACACGTAAGAAACCTCAACAAAATATGAGCAAATTGAATTCATCAGCATAGTAAAAGGATTATACACCATAACCAAGTGGGATTTATTCCAGAAATGCAAGAGTGGCTCACCATATGAAAACCAATGTAATACACCACACTAACAGAGTGAAGGAAAACGATCATTTCAATAGGTACAGAAAAAGCATTTGACAAATCCAACACCCTTTCATGATAAAACAGAGAGAAACTAGGAATAGAAGGGAACTCCTTCAACCTGTCAAAGGGCGTCTATAGAACCCCACACTCATATCATACTCATCACGAGAGACTGAGAGCTCCCCCGAAGATCAGGGACAAGACAAGGATGTCCGCTCCTCCCACTTCTACCTGACATAGTACTGGAGGTTCCAGCCAGTGAAATCAGGCAAAGAAAAGAAAGAAAAGGCATCCAGATTGGAAAGGAAGAAGTTAAACTATCTCTGTTTGATATGACATGATCTTGCATAGAGAAAGCCCTAAAGTAAACACCCATACATACCCACACACACAATTAGAACTAATAAACGAGTACAGCAAAGTTGCAGGACACAAGATACAAAAATCAATTGTATTTCTGTACACTAGCAACAAAAACGAAATTAATGAAACAATCCCATTTATAAAAGCATCAAAAAAGAATAAAACACTTAGGAATAAATTTAGCCGAAAGAAGTATAAGGCTTGTACGTTGAAAACTACAACAGCTTGTTGAAAGAAATGAAAGATCTAAATAAATGAAAAGACACTCCATGTTCAGTGACTGGAAGACCTTATGTTACGATAGCGATGCTCCCCAAATTGATCAGTGCAACTCCTATCAAAACTCCAACTGCTTTTTTTGCAGAAATGGACAAGCTGGTTCTAAAGTTCACATGGAATTGCAAGGGACCCCAAACAGCCATATACAAAAACTAAGTCAAAATGGGTCAAAGATCTAAATGTAAGAGCTGAAACTATAAAACTTTTAGAAGGAAACATAGGAGGAAATCTTTATGACCTTGGATTAGGCAATGGTTTCCTAAGTATGACACCAAAAGCATAGCAACAAACGAAAAATTGGCAAATTGGACTGCATCAAATTTAAAAACTTTCCTGCATCAAAGGATGCTATCAAGAAAATGAAAAGACAACCCACGGAGTGGGAGAACATATCTGAAAAGTGTATCACTGAAAAGGGTCTGGTATCTAGAACACAGAACTGTTACAGCTCAAAAACCAAAAGACAAACCACCCAACTTGCAAAAGGGCAAAGGACTTGAGCAGACGCTTCTCACAAGACGATGGACAAATGGCCAAGAGGCGCATGAAAAGGTGCTCGGCATCATTAGTTACTAAGGAAATGCAAATCAAAACCACAAAAAGATACCATGTCACACCTACTAGGATGGCCAGAATCAAAGAGACGGACAATACAAGTGTTGGTGAGGATGTGAAGAAATTAGAACCCTGTGTGTGGCTGGTGGGGTTCTGTGAAAAGTAGAGCCACTGAGGAAAACAGTATGGCTATTGCTCAAAAAGTTAAACAGAGCTACCATATGAGCCAGCACTTCCACACCTGGGTACAGACCCAAGAGAACTGAAAACCTAAGTTCATACAGAAATTTGCACATCAAAGTTCACAGCAGCACTACTCCTAATAGCCCCAAACAGAACCACCCCAATCCACCAATAGATGATGGATAACAAAGTACGCCTCTCCACACCACGGAATATTATGTGGCCGTAAAAAGAAGTGAAGTACTGACACAGGCTACCACACGGCTGAACCTTGCAAACCCCGCGCTAAGGAGAGAAGCCAACACGAAGGCCACACACCGTGCGGCTCCGTTCGTATGAGGTCCCCAGAATCAGCAAGTCCAAAGAGACAGAAAGCCAGTGAGTGGTTTCGAGGAGCTGGTGGGAGGGGGGAAGGGAGAGTGACCACTAACGGGGACGGGGTTTCCCTGTGGGGTGATGAAAGAGTTCTGGAACTACATAGTAGTGACAGTTGCACAAGATTCTCAATATACTAAAAACCTATTAATTGTACACTTAAACTACTCAGGTAAGTTGTCTGCGTCCAGGCTCTAGCCTGCTCCTCACTGAGGGGGAGGGGACAAGAGGGATGGGGGAGCCCCTGCAGCAGGTCATGCCCTCAGTCTGGAAGGTCCATCTGACCCTCTGTCACTGAGGAGCTGCTGTCTCTAGGCAGAGCCCCACTCCCACCACAGTATGAGACCATGGCCATTTCTGTGCATCCCTTAGAGAGAAGTGGGTCCCCGCGAGCTGGTGCTGCGGACGTTACCCAGAGCCTCCCAGCACTCCTGGGAAGTTTTCCTGTAGCCTGGGCGTGGGGCGGGTGGGCAGCAGGGTCCTGCCTGTGCAGCCCTCACAGGACCTGTGTCCTGGAGCTTGGGGTGGCGTGAGGAGCCTGGGGGAAGACAAAGACTCCTTTACCTTCCTGCTTCTTCTTGTCACCAGTTAGCATGGCCTGGCAAACTTACAGCCATGAACTCTGGCCTCTGTGGCCCCACTCCTCTAAACGTGTCACTTCCCTTGTCAAGGACTGACTGTGTCAGGCTCCAGGCCACATCCATTCGACACAGGGTGCAGCTGTCTGGTGAGGCAGGATGGGCATCATCCCCATGGTAGGCTCCCAGCTTTGCCCAGAGCCAGTCAGTACAGGGCAGCCTGGCCCACCCAGCTCTGCCTGCCTTCCATCCTGTGCTCCCAATTCCCCCACCCCCTGGTCCTGATGAGCTCTGGGCAGGGAAAGAGCTGGAAGAAGTTAGGAGGGCAGTGGCTGTGGAACACCAGGCAGGGAGGGCCAAGAGCTTTGTTGGGGATGCTGGCAGGACCTGCACAGGCAGCAGGCTGGGGCTGAGTCTCCTGAGGGCCCTTGGCCTGGCCACCCTGGGCACAGCAACCTGGGCCCCAGGCTTGGGGCACACCTGGGGTGGCTCGGTGCCCTTGGGCTCAGGAGGTGAGTAGGAAGAGGCAGCTGCTGCCTGCAGCCCCAGCCAAGTGTCACTGCTTCCCCTGCCCATGGGCACTTTGGGGATGGGCTGAAATCTGGGCACTGCTGGAGCCACATGGAGCCAGCACCTCCCCTGCTCAGAGCCCCACACCCTGCTCCGGGCAAGGCCAGCCCATCCCGTCCTCCCCGTCCTGCTTTGGCCCTTTCCTCCCAGGGCCACACACCTGCCTCACCCGCACCTCACTGGGTCTGGGGACGAGTACGGGGGGTGCCTAAGCCCCGGCTCCAGGGTGAGAATGGTGCAGCACTACTAGCTCTTGCCCCCTCCCTTGTGGCCCCCAGGCCATGGCTGCACTTAGTCGACATGTGACCCGCTGGAGGAGCCCCGCCCAGGCCTGCTTGTGCCCGGTGACCATCAGGGGTTTTAGGAAGATGGCCCTGCGCTCCCTCACAACTCAGACAGGGCTCCACAGGACAGACGCTGGGTGGCCAGGCTGTCCCTCCCCCGACCACTGTCTCATTCTGGGGCCCAGCTTGCTGCTGGACTCCAACCCTTCCTTCGCTTACTGGGAACTGTGTGTCCACTGCCAGGAAAGCCACTTTCTGCATATTCTCACACTTAATCCCACCCAAAGCTGATGAAGCAGGTGTTTACACCCCTGGGAGAAAACAGGTTCTGACCAGGAGGACCTGCTCTCAGAGCTCCATCGGATGCTGCGTTCCCCCTTCTCTCCCAAGAGCCAGACGTGTGTGTCTCGGTCCTGGGGCACCACAGCACCACACGTGCACAGAGGTGAGCCGAAAACCACAGGGGCTGCGGTGCAGGGTCTAAAGCCACAGGCACAGCATCTGGGAGCCGGGGTGGGCTGGCAGACGGCCCAGGGCCAGCTGAGGAGGAGGGGGAGCCGAGGCCCCCGCTGCAGCCCCGGCTGTGATGAACAGGGGCTTTCTCAGTCCCAGGACTGGGAGGAGAGTGTAAACTGAGGTGAGACAGGAGCAGAGGTGCCAGGGCGGACCTCTGGGGAGGCGGCATGAGCAGGACTGGAGGTCAGAACCTGGGTCAGCCCTTCCCACCTACAGGAGTTCCCTCAAAGGCACCTATGGAACATGCTGGAACCTGCTCACCCCGGTGGGCCATCGAGTGGAGCCCAGAGCCACCTGGGTGGCTCCGCTTCCTACTGAAATGTCCTAAATAGGGGCCACTGCCATCAAGTGGGCCAGGCCCCCCAGGCTCAGCCTCCCCACAGCCCCCACTTGCGGCCCCGCCTCACAAGGGGGCTTCAGGAGGAGGGAAAGGGGACAGAACCCTGCCGGCCCAAACGACAGACTACCTGGCTCACCTGTCCCCTTTGCCTCTCCGAGGGGTCCGGGCCCCAGAGGAGAGCTCACTTCTCATCATGAACAAAAGGAGAGATACCAGAGGGGGCATGGAGAGCACGCTGAGACCGTGGCCTCCCTCCACCCCAAGCTGTCAAACCATGATGACCAGCTCCTTCTTGAGAGGCACAATGAAAGGCAAGAGCGGTCTCCACAGGTTTCTTCATGCCTCTCAGCAGATTCCAGAGTCCTCAGGGAGACTGCGGGTGTGGGGCGAGCTGGTAGGTGGAAGGCTGGGGGTGCTGGGGGTGCCCCGGGCCTGTGGGCCATGCTCCTCACCCTCGGCCTCTCAGCTGCGCCTTCCAGCCCACACTGAGAGGGAAGTGGTGGCCAGAGGCCGGAGTTGGGGTGCGGCAGAGCTGCTGTGCCGCAGCGGAGACTTCTGAGGCTGGGCCTCTTGGGCAGGAAGCTGGCAGGGGAGGGCGCTGTGCTCACAGGATCTGGGGAGAGCTCTGAGTACTCGAACCCACTGGGGACACGGTCTCCACCAGCTTCCCAGATGGGGCTGCCCACCCTCAGGGCCCCTGGCCAGGGCTGCAGGGCCTGACACCCAGCCCCTCAGTCTGGCACCACACTGCCCGCGTGTACTCCCCACTCTTGGGCCTCTCCAGGCTGAGGTGATGCTCTTCTCCTCTTCCTCCCAGCCCTGGTGTGTGCCAGCAGCAGGCAGGTGGAAGGTGGGCAGGGCAGCCAGGGGCTGAGCGCGACACCGGCCACCTCAGCTTGGATCCCTCCCAGGTCAGGCAGAGGTGGTTCAGTGTGGCGGGGGGCGGGGGGGGGGTGGCGGTTTACAAAAGAACAAAAGCAAAAGCAGAAAAAGCCACGGCGCGTGTACTGGAAGGAGAAATGGCCCAGGAGGAGCTGTAGACGGACCTGCAGTTGGCATTCGCAAGCCCACCTGGTACTTTCAGGACAAAACAAAAACACCCAAAAGAAACCCATGAACCCTCAATCCCCTTCCCATGCTCCCAGGAAATCATCTCACACGCTCGCCAGGTCTGCCGCTCTGCTCTGTGAGCAACGCTTTCCGCTGAGCTCTCTCGGGGCTGGCCCAGCCCTCGTGACCAACGGTGCAGCGGGAGGGGCAGCCACTCCAGTGGGCTGCGTGCCATGTGCTCAGGGCCTGGCACCCCATCTGCTGCTGTGGGGGCGATTCCCCCAGGGCCAGTTACTGCTCCAAAGCTGGAGGGGGCGGCAGGCAGCCTGAGAGTTTTCATGGTGTCGTCCAGCTCCGTCCCCAGCCCACACCCTACTGTTCCTGGGCGACTGGGTCTGGGGCTTTCTGGTGCGTTCTGGGGCCTGCGCTGTGGGCCTCAGGGGGCCTGCCCTCACCTGCAGGCTCTTCTGAGCCCTCCTTGGGGCATGCCTTTGGCCTCTGTGCCTTCTGGTTCCTGGTAATGACATCGAGAAGGGGCAGCATCAAATGCCAGAACCAGCCCGGAGCCCCCCTCGCTCCCCGGATGGTGCCCAGAAGCTGCTGCTGATCTGGATCCTCAGGCCCCACGTGCACTCAAGCTGGCCAGCCCCACCCCAGGGAGAGCTCAGGGGTCCCAGTGCACCTTCCCCCAGTTCTCAAAGCAGCTTAGCCAGGCCGAGACTAGCCTGAGACTCAGAGGGAAGAGAAGCAGAAAGGAAGTGCCCACAGTGACTCCTGGTGGAGACGGCAGGCCCATTCCCAGCCTGGGGGTTGGAGGCCAGGCTTGGAACCCAAACTGCCAACTGAAACCTCTCTGCCACTCATCTGTGCTCTGTGCCTCAGTTTCCTCATCTGTGAAGTGGATTACAGCACCTGTCTTATGGAAAGGTGGTGTCAGCAGTAAATAACCAGGCACTCCTGGAGGCGACTCTCCGAGCTAGGTTCTCTCACGAGAATCGGGAGACAGGACTTACTGCGTCTGCCACGCAGACAAGGAAAGTGAGGCTGAGCGTGGAGGTGACACAGCTGGTCGTGCAGAGCCAGGAACAAACATGGTCCGTCTGCCTCCCATGCCCTTTGGAGCCCACACCTCCATAGCTTACAGGTAAGTGGGCCAAGGCAGGTGGGGGACAGCCCTAGTGGGTTTCTGGTTTCCACCGGACATGGAGTCCACACAGGCCATTCAACTCTCCTGTCCTTTCAGCGACTCTGTGCCCCCTGCCTGGCCTGAGTGCAGTGCTGCAGAAGCGAGAGGCTCAGCCACCAGAAGTGGCCCATGTGGGCACCTCTGAGCTGACCCCTAACCAATGACCCAGCCTCCCCCAGCGCTCACCTCTCTCGCCCTGGGGCGGGGGGCCCAGGGACTCCCAGGGTCCTGCGGATGTAGTCTCGGGAGCGGATATCAGCCTGAGGAGAGGGAGGGCTCAAGTAAGAGGTGGTGGCTGGGGTCCCGAGTTGGCCTCTGGACAAGCCGCCCTGACAGCCTGCTGGACAGCTCTAGCTCCCTCCTGAGAAAGCCCACGGAGGCAATGTCAGGCTGTCGCAGGCCCAGCCTTCAGGACAACGGCAGCAGCCCCAGAAGTGTGGAGGAAGCAGGATGCCTGGCCCTCTGGCCAAAGTCCTGTGACAGCAGGTCCCCAAAGGGCCTGAACGAACAGGGTGAGGTGGGAGTCCTGGTTCCCCTCCATGTTTCAACTGGAGCCACATGGTTTTCGTCAGGTTTACAGCTTGTGCTTCCTGTAGGTTTTGCCTGAGCCAAAGGATTCTCTGCTAAGACCCTCCTCCGCGAGGGCTCTCCGCAGCCCAGCTCGTCTGACCTCACTATTGGCTCATCTGTCTCCCTGACTAGCATCAGCTGCAACCCCTGCCCCCAGGGAAGTGTCTATGGAAACTTCTCCAAAGTCACTGGAAGGAAAGGGGGCTTGTAGGCCAGAGGGATCAGGGCAGACCCGCGGGGAGAGGCTCAGGCCCGAGCAGGAACCCCCTCCAGGGGCCTGGCTCAGGAAGGCCCCTGATCCCAGCTCAAATGGGCTTAGCCCGACGGCAGGTCGGACACACAGGACGTAACGGCTGAGCCCCCAGATGGCTGCTGCTTCAGCGTGAGCAGGCCAGTGTGCAGGGTGGGCGGTGGTACATTCCGATGGGAGGCACCCCATGAGGTGAAGCACAGCGCCTCCCGCCTGCCCCTGCAGCTGACACCAGGGGTGTAGTAGGCCTGTGGCCAAGGGCCCCCTCATGGCCAGGGAGGGGGACCCACCGACGCCATGGAGAGAGGGAGCAAGCACTAACCCCCTTTCTCATCCTCTCCTAGGAGCTTCCAGGTGGAGTCAGGACGGCGAAGTGTTGACAGGCGAGCAGGCCAAGAAGAAGATGGGCCGAGACACAGCCGGTGCTGCTGGACAGGGGCCTCGCCCCACCCCTGGAAGTGCCGGGGACTGTGGGCCCCTGGCTTTCCTCCCCTAGGCGTGCAGGCCCAGGAAGGCAGCAGCCTCTTCTCTGAGGCTGGATACATAGCCCCCGCCTGCCTTTGAGGTGCTCAAGGAGCTTCAGAGGCTACACCCTCACCTGCAAGGATGGGGCCAGTGCCCACTCTGGGGCAAAGTGAGGCGTGGAGGGGACAACAGGGACCTGCCCCACTGTACCAGCACAACAGAGTCCCTGATTCTGAGGGCTTGGGGAGAGTTCTTGGGTTTTCTCCTCGAGGCTGCACAGGTGGGTGGGAATGGAGGAGGAAAGGCCGCCTGGGGGCCAGGACACACGTCACAGGCTTGAGAACACACACACTCATGAACCCAGCAGAGCCCTGGATGGGGAGAGAGGGAGGCTGAGGCTGGCGGCTGCTGAGCGAGTCCACTCTGAGAAGCCACCGGAGAGGCCTCGGCCCTTCACCGCCCTGAGGACAGCTGGCATCAGGGGCTGAGAGGCAGCCACGGGCAGCCTGCTGCTGCCATCTGGAGGCCGCCCTGCACACCAGCAGCCGGGGAAGGCCCCAGGCCCAGAGGAGGTGCCAGCATGGGCAGCATGGCAGTGGGGCTCCCCGGGGTGGGAGAAGCAGAGCCAGGGCCCTTGAGTTTTCCACTGGTGTCACCAGCTGGTGCTGAGCTGGGCAGAGTGGTTCTCGGGAGAGTCTGGCCTGTGGCCCCTCTGCTGGGTCACCTTGAACTGATGTAGCACAGGCGGGAGACGGGGAGCCCAAGGCACCAGGGAGGTCTCTAGGCACTTTGCCCTCTTATCCCACAGCAGACCAGCACTTAGCCAGCAGCCCCGGCTCCAATGCTGGGCTGCAGAAAGCAGCGCCCCCGGTCCAGGTTGGCTCCCTGGCTCCTCCGAGCTGCACACAGGGCCTTTGCTTGTGAAGCCAAATCTGACAGGGCCCTGATTTAGGTGCTGGGTGCCTGGTGTGGCCACACCCTGAAGTCTCCCGATTGATGTCCCTGGTGCTGACACAAGCCTTCCTCAGGGCTGCCCAGCGGCCCTACAGGGCCCTCCCCAGCCCAGGATGGCCACTCCCTTCCAGGACAGCTGGGCAGTCAGGCCCTGAGGGGCTGGCTGGGGGCTGGCAGGATACTTTGCCATCTCCGCTGATGTCACCTGAGTCTCCTGGTGACCCTGGTACTCAATACAGGAGACTGAGAGGCTGGGCGCAGGAGCACAGTGAACCCCAGGGCCCAGGCAGGGCAGAGCCCAGGATGAGCTCCTGGGATCTCTGCATCCTCTGGTCTCTCTCTACCCCTCAGGGCCCAGCATGACCCAAGCAGGCTCTCCCATGAGTGCTGGTGCAAGGGAAGACTGGGTGGTGTGCTCCAATCCACCCACCCGGTGGCCCACCCACCTGGCGCACCGGCTCTGGGATCCGGAACCTGCAGCAGCCAAGGGTCAGGCGCATGGCCGCCTCCAGGCTCATCTTGTGACCCACAGAGACATAGAGGGGCTTGGTGCTGTGGTCGTGGCTCTTCAGGGCCTGGAACAAGGAAGGCGAGGTCAGGGTGCCGGGGGGACAAGCCCTGAGGGCTAGAGGACAGAGATGTCCTGGTGGCAGGAGGGGGCTGAGGGGTACCTGCAGCCTCCTCGGGGCACCTTCCTGTTGCTCATCCTGGGTGCAGGGAGGGGAAGATGCAGCCCAGAGGCCCCCTCAGCACAGCTAGGGGTGCGGGGCACACTCTGGGTCAGCCAGACGGGGAGAGGTGGATGGGGTCCGGGGCGTGTGCAAGGGCAAGTGTACATGGGTGCTGACTCAGGGCACTCCTGACTCTTGGCTGAAGGGCCTGCCATGGTGGGGCACAGGCCCCTGGCCACTCACCATGCCCAGGATGGTCCCAGAGCCTCCCATCAGAGGAAATGAGTCTCCTCTGGCCTGCAGAAGTTGTATCTGGAAAATGGGACAAAAGACTTGGAATATATCTTTTCTTGGTGAAGGGCTGAAGGCAGGGCTGTTCATTGATAAAATTCGAGCAGCCAAGGGGCAAGGAGAGGGAGGGGCGACCCTGCATGTGGCCACAGCCCAGACAAAGCCAACCAGCCTGAAGGCCGTGCTCACAACCCACCCCATCCCATCCCAGCCCATCCCGAGTGGACCCGTGACCTGGGCACTGCCCGCTCTGACAAGGGCTCGGAGCTCGGCTCTCTCCTCCCTGTTCCACAGCGGAGAAAGCGGGTGCCTGCAGAAGAGGCAGCAGCCTGGCTAGCCACAGTGCTGGTGGGTAGAGGTGCCAGGCTGGGGGACATACAGGTGCCGCTCTCAGGCCAATGGGCCAGAACCCATGCCAAGGCCACTTACTTCCTGCCACTTTCTCTCCTGCTAAGAATTTGGGCACATTTGATTCAACTCAAGAAACTTCTTTGGGGGGAGTGGGGATTAGCCCACTGAGTGGGTGCAGGGTCACCTGAGTTGGGTCTCAGGTCCCTGTCAACTAATAAACAATTGCTCCATGCAGACACCCGACTGCCCAGAGGAATGAGACAGATGTGATCTCTGTCCAGAGTCTGCTGTCCAGTGGGAAAGCCGGGCGTGTCACAGGCCCTCTCAAGTGGGGTATCTCATCCCCAGTGCCAGCTGCAGGGGCCCAGAGGTGGGACATGCGGGATAAGGTGGGGCTGGGAAGCTCCCAGGTGGGCCGGGTGGCCCCTTGAGCAGGGCCTGGAGGCTGGGGGTAGGGAAGTACGGAGCATGGCACAGGCTCCTAACTGTCCTGTCCCCAGTAACCACTGGCCACGCCCCTAAGTGGGGCGTCCAGAGGCACAGAGGCCGGAGGGCCGGGAGAGTGAGCACACTCAGGAGGCCGGAGGGCACTCAGAAGGTGCTCCAGGAGGCTCCTGAGCCTCCCTCTGAGCCCCACCACCCACGGGGAACATACAGGGTGTGCCAGAGAAAAGTGGGTCTTCCTCATGCCAGGTCAGGGATCCCAAACCCCAGGACGGGGAGGAGTGTCAGCAGGCAAAGGCCGGCCCAGAGCAGGGCAGTCTCCGGTGTCCTCCATCCCTGGGGCTGTCCCAGGTGCTTGCGCCTGAGCCTGCATGCCCCCCCAGGCCCAGCCCTCACCTTCTCCTTGTGCTGGGCATTGTTCTCCAGCCCATCCACCTGCAGGAGTTTCTTGGCTACCCCAACGCACGGCAGGTCTGTGAGGACGCCGAGGTGACAGGCCACCCCGAAGCCTGCAAGGGCAGAGGAGGATGAGGCTGGGGCGGAGGGGCAGTGAGCCCAGCAGCCTAGAGAGGGCATGGCCACTGGGGGCAAACCAAGACCTCGCCGGGTTCCCCAAGTGAACAGAGGCCTGTCGGCTGGCCGAGGCCGGGGGAGACAGTACCGAGCCCCAGCCTGACCTCTGCCCTGACTTCATGGGGGTCAGGCCGGGGTGGAGGACACCTCCTCCCCTCAGACAATATAGAGGCCTAACTAGTGTGTTCATGACACATCACCCCGTTTCTCCTTTCATTTTCTGGCACCTTCCATCCTCTTCTCTTTGTGGCCGCCGTCAGGCCTCTGTGTCTCTGTCCCCTACTCCCCCAACATACATACTCTGGGGCTCCTGCCAGGTGGCCCACATTGCAGTGACTGGGGGCCTAGCGCAGGACTGGCTTGCTGGCCTTGCATGAGAATCCAGGGTGGAACATGTCCACCCTCTGCCTCTGGATCCACAGGCTTCCAGGGTAGCAGACGAAAGGCCCAAAGCCACCCCTTCTTGGCTCCCTCTGCTCCCCTCCCTCCGGTTTGTATGTGAGGGTAGAACAGCTCCTCTCTCCCCCTCCGTGTGCCCCAGGCCAAAGTTCTCGTGCCCAGGAGGGAACAGGCTTCCAGGCATCACTGGGGAATGGGCACTCCTGTCTGTGCCTGTCTAGTTTCAGGTAAGGGTATGTCAGGGCGCAAGCCAGGGCGCTGGTGGGACAGGTCAGCTGAGCTCGAGGTCCTGTGACTTTTGGTGGCAGGTTCAAACTGGGTGGTGGCACCTGAGTTGGGCCAGTGCAGCGTGCTGGGAAAGGCCTAGGGGGCAGGCAGGAAAGAGGCAGGGGTGAAGAGAAGCAGGGGTTCTTTATTGGTGAGGTCCTTATAAGGAAATTGAGGCCAGAAAGGAGCTGTCAGAGCCAGGCTGGCAGCAGAGGGCCTGGGGTAGGGGCACAGCGTTCTGTGAGGGGCCCGGGTCAGAACCACCCCCCCCTTTGGTCTCTTTCCCATAGCCCTCCCGGGCCCTGTCTCTTGGGAGCAGGAATACCTCGGTGGTGGAGCACCCCATTTCCATCCACGAGAAGCACCTGGAAGAGCCAAAAGACAAAGTCACAGTCAGCTGAACTGCCCCTCACCCAACAGGCCGGAGTGTCCAGGAGCAGGAGGAGGGGTGGGACCACCACTTCCAGGTTCCAGCTTTTTGGAAAGCCTATCCCTCTCCTCAAGGCAAAAGGACATCTTCTCCAGGAAGTTCACGAGGCTTGGGTGGCGGTGGCCTGCAGAGGCCTTCCCTCCCCGAGTAGGGGTACCTGCCTGGGGCATGAGGCACGGCTCCTTCTCCCGCAGTCGCCGCACCGCGTCCACCAGGAAGGGTACCTCTCGGAAGGCCAGGAAGCCCGACACGTAGGGGGCCGTCAGGCTCACCATGCGGCAGTCCTCATACACCACCTGCCACCAGGCACCCAGGTCATGGCAGGGCCACCTGCCTCCCCTGCCACCTGCCTTTGTGCACCCCCTCAGCCCTTCACCCTTCAATCCTTTCCAACGCTAACTCCCTCTCCATCTCCCAGGCCCACCCCTCATCCTACTTCCTGCCTCACCTACCTGGGAGGCAAAAGGACGAGGTGACCCGCCCTGCAAATCGGCAGCAGGGTTCAACCTGCTGACATGTAAAGGTGCTGGCCACCCTCGTCTGTCCCAGGCTGCCTCCTTTGTAAATTAGAGCTGAAGCCCGCCACCCCCCGCCCCCCGTGCCCCGGCTCTGGGCTGTTCAGAGGCTCAAAAAAGACAAAGCGCAAGAAGCACTTGAGCGGAGTGTGATGGGAAACGACACCAGGATGCCGTGGTTTTACATTAGAAGGGGCCTCCAGGAAGAAAAGGCCAGGTCTTCATAGAGGTTACATAGCAAGAAAGGCAGCCCCAGGCTTACAAAAAGAGATTTCAAATAATGCAGAAAGGGACAGGCATGATCTCAGAGCTAGACAGCCTGAAAGAGAACAGGGCTCCCATGGACGGGAGAGTCTAAAAAGAAAAGTGCTGCGGCTGCGACTGTGAATAATCCCAGAGAGAAGGGGAGATGCCACGGTGTGCCGGAGCCCCCGGGACATCGGTGAGGCACTAGAGGGCCTTGTGCAAACTGGGAGGAGAGGAGGACAAGGGCCTGAGGGACGAAGTCTGCAGGCAGGGGTCTGGATGGGCTGGGCTGCCTGGAACCGCCGGGGACCCGGAGAGCTTTTACACCTGCCTCCCTTTCTCTGGGCTTCTCTGGCAGAGACTGGTCTTCAAACTGAAAAGTCCCTAACACCGCAGGGAAGAGGGTGGCCCTGCCTGCACTTGATTAGAACGGTAAGGGACCGGCTCAGAGCACAGTGACGGCAGCCTGGGGTCCCTCAGAGTCAGACCGGCCTGAGATGGAGACGTGTTTCCCGCTAGGCACACATTCCCCAGAACCCTCAGACATCCTGGATTGCTACTGAACACCCCCAAACGCTTACTGATAGCTTTCAAAATCACAGCTTCCACCCTCCCCTTGAAGCTGGGTCAAAACCACACGTCCCTAGGAGAAAGGATTACTCTCTATTAGCATGGGGGCTTGTCCCGTCAACATTTTCATCAATGACTCAAAGGAAACTTATCAAACTGCCAATTACCCTAAGTGGGCAGGGTCCACTCAGATGACAGACCAGAGAACTGGATTCACAGTGAACCCAGCAGGGGGAGTGCCAAACCCCATAGACAGGATTTTTACAGGAACACACGTGAAGCTCAAATGTGCCCTGAGTTTTCACAGGATGACAGTGGCTGCTTACATCTGAAGCTCTCTGAACAAGCTCCAGAAACCAGAGATCCACAAGGAGATACCTCCCCCACACTCCATGCCCACGGCATAACCAGGAGACGAGCCCACTACAAACATCAGTGTGCACCTACGTGGGGAGATCAACAGCCCAGCCAGCAGAGCCAGCTCCAGGCACCGCACTGGGCAAAGGCCGGGACGGGGTGAGGGGGGGTGTGGCAGGTCCTAATGGTGGGGAAGCTGAGGGAATGAGACCCCGTGGGCAACCCTGGCCAGCAGGGACCGGAAGGAAAAGGCCTGGAAGTACATGGGGCCAATGGCAGCCTCCCTGGGAAGACGCTGCTTCTGGGGAGAAGCAGGTGAGCCGTGGGGGCTAGTGGTGCAGAGAGTGAGGCCAGAAGTGTAAGGTCCTTCGGAAACAAGAGTATCAAGGAATCGGAAGACACACTGTCTGTCTTCGCCTCAGAAGAGGGCACCATTTATTGCAGCGACTACACTTCACTGTCCCTCATGATCTAAAAAATCCAATAAGCCATCCAAAGCCCTAGCCCTCCAATTATGTTTGAATACCGTTTAAAATGAACAGTGAACGACTGCACAAAGCTCCTACAGGAATTCAGACGGCAATAATCAGAAGTCGTCAGCTGATGAAATGCTGCCCCCAACCAGTCGTGCAGGAGAGGAAAGTTAACTATTGCTAAACTGACAGTAGACAGAGAAGAACACCCCAAGGCAGAAATTCAAAACTCAGGACAGAAGTGGGCAAAAAAACTGCAAAGACAGAAAACCCAGCAAACATATGACTGAAGAAGAGAAACAAACTATGGAGCTGATCTAATAAACAGAACTAATACTTAAAACCACAATCCAAGAAGCTTTCCAAAAATAAAAGGAGCTCTGACCGCACGTATTCAAAGAGCCAACTGTGAACTCGGGCACACTGACCTGGACAGTCGATGCAAGATGTATCTCAATGAAAAAAAGAGTCAAGAAAACAGGCAGCAAACTGGACAAACCAGACCCCACAGTAAACAAGGCCCAATGGCAGCAGCGACTGTGACACAGAATCTCTGTGGGACCCTACCGGTCACAACACCAAACCAAAGCAGCCTTCAGAGACAGACGTGGGCCACTGGGGACATGCAGTGTGGAATGGGATTCAGGTGACTTTATGTGATTATGGTGATTTCTCTCAGGTGTGACAATGACACCACCCTTGTGTAGGAGAATGTCGCGCTCAGGACAGGCCTGTTGATGTACTCAGGGGTGAGCTGTCACCACCTCTGGGAGGCACTCTCAAACCATTCAGTACACAAATGCAGAAAAAATACAACAAAACCAGCAAGAGTGGAATCTAAGCAGAGGGTACACAGGGGTTCTATGTATTAGTCTCGCAATTTTTCAGTAGGGTTACATATTTTCAAATAAAAAATCTGGGAAAAGAAAAAATCAATTGTGTATTTAGTGCGTGGGCATGAGGTGGACAGTCACGAATCTCTGTGAGGATTTGCAAATTTCCACCTAAGTCGACGACGCAGCGCCCCTAACAACTGATGCGTTTTAGGCGGCGTTCATGGAAACAATGTGTTAGGCCCACCAAACTCGGGCTGAACTACACTTGAGTAGTTCAATTCCGCGCGACAGATTAAAGACGGACCCTAGCAACTGCGGGCACACCAGAGGGGCAGCAGCAAGTGAAGGAGCTGGAGGCCAGGTCACTGAGACTCAGGAAGGGGCAGACAAGACAGGAGAGCACACAGCTGTCTTCAGACAGCGGAAGCGATGACGCAGCAGGCGAGACAGTCTGTTCTGTGCTCTGCTGCCTGAAGGCAGAATCGATATCACAAACAAGTAAATTTCAGCTGTGTGTGGAAAAGAACATTCCAACCAGGTGTCCAACTGTGGAATGGGCTCCGCTGTGAGGCCATCACTTGTCAGGGATGCTGAGGAAAAGACTCCTGCTGCGTGAAAGGTGGACCAGTGATTCCCAGCCTGGCTTTGCTTCAGAGTCACAGGGAGGCTTGTTTAAAAAGGCAGATTTCCAGGCCACATACACCGGGAGATTTTTTTCTGTAAATAGGATGGGGCTCTGCAAGCTATATTTTTTTAAAACAACTCCATTGAGAGACAATTTACTACCATAAAGTTCACTTGTTTGACGTGTATTAATTCAACGTTTTTCATATTTACAGAGTTGTACAACCATCACCATAATCTAACTTTAGAATATTTTCATCATCCTCCAAATAAACCTTGTACCCATTGGCAGTCACTCCCCATCCACCCCACTCCTCAGCCCTCGCCAACCACGAATCTACTTTTTGCCTCTATGGATTTTCCCAGGGAATCTGCATTTCTAAATATACTCCTGCGCGACTCTAATGGTGCAGACCCATCGCAGGGCATTTAGGAGCCACTGGGCCAGACTCCTCCAAGATCCTTTCCTAGTCTAAGCTTCCATGGCACAGGACGACAAATGCTGACTACATCCAAAGAGCAGACACTTTGCTTGGTGCCGGGGTTACAAAACAAATACATCACCCCGCCTCCAGAACCTACAGTCAGTGGGAAAGACAACGTAAACTGGTAACTTTAATCCGACATGAGAAGTGCTGTAATAGCACATGAATAAGATAGAGGCCTAGGACAGAGATGAGGGGGTGGTTAATTCTGCAGCTGGGGAAGGTACAGTGCGATAGGAATATGCGAACTGGGTCTTGAAATGTGCCAAGTCGTCCTAGGAATTAATAGTGGCTAACGTTTATCTATTGAGGGCTTACCATGTGCTTGTTATGCTTATTGCTTTCCATGCAGGATCTCATTTACTCCTCATCACAACTCTGAGTTGGTATCAATACTGTCGTCACCATCCCCATTACAAAAGAGGAAATGGGGGCCCAGAGAGGTTAAGTGGGGGTGGAAGAGCCCTGGTAGGAACCCCAGCAGTCTGGCTCCTGAGTCTGTGCCCCACCCTCAACGCCACTCTACAAATGGACCAGGGGCCCTCTGAGGGCAGGGGCTCTGATTCCTTCACCACCCTATATCCAGTTCTTAGCACACAGTAGGCACTCAGCACATGTTTACAGAATTTGACTAAAGAGGCCTTCCAAGCAAAGCACAAAGACATTGAAGCAGGAAGAGGCCGTCTTTGTGAGCAGGCAGAGGAGCAGGGGGGGCAAACGCTGCAGTGCAAAGGTTTCCTTGTCAAGCTCTTCTTTAGCCAATGCTTCCTGAGCTGTTGACTCCAAATGGATCGTGGGCATACTGTTCATTCACTGGCGCATCTATTCGAGTGTCTTCTATATGCCAGGCACTGAGCTAGGGCCAAGGCTACAATCAGTGGGCAAGACAACATGGTTCCTACCATCGTAGAGTTTACATTCTGGTAGGGGAGACAGACAGGCCAATTCCATTCCAGCATGATAAAGACGAAAGAAGGGCGCTGAGAGCAACTCCTGGTCTTGCAGGATGAGGAAGCCCTTACTGGAGGACCTGAGACAAGTGAGAGCTAGCCAGATGAAGAATATTCCAAGAGAGGCAACATCACCCCAAGGTCAGGCAGACAGAGACAGCTTGGTGCGTGTGAAGAGCCCAAAGTCCTCGGGAGCGGGAGTGGGGAGTGGGTGAGGAATGTGAGAGCTGGGCCTACAGCATTGCATTAAGCAGGGATCAGATCATGAAGGGCCTCTATGCCTCGTCAGTGAGTGTGACCTTTACCATGAGGTCACGGGATGGGCACTGAAGAGTCTTAAAAGTGGTCTAGGCGGTGATGTGGTCACATCTGCTTTTTAGGAAAATTGTTCTGCTGGTAGCATCGAGAAGGGACCATGAGGACAATCCTGGAGGGAGGGAGCCCAGTGAAGCTTCTGCTCGGCATCTACAGGAGAGGTGATGGTGCCACAGCCAGGGAAGGGGCAGCGGGGGTGCAGATAAGGAGACAGATTCCAGCAATATTTAGGAGGCAGGAAAAATGGAGCTAGTGTGTGACTGGAGGTGAGGTGCCCAGAAAGACAAAGACTCCAGCTTGGGCCACTTCAGAGTGCGCTGCTGCGGGTCACTGAGATGGGACCCCAAGATGACAATTGGCTTGAGGTAAAGATCATGAATTAATTCAAACTTAAGTCACAGAGTCTCCTTTAGTTTTTGCCCTTTCTCCTTTTTTCTTCAAAGGCTTCCCAATTTATTAACGAAATCTTACAAAAGGAGAAGCGAGGTTCTACCTTCGCAGTGTTTCCTGTCTCGGAGCCCCGCATCTCTCACCAATGCACCCCGAGCCCGAGCGGGGCGCTCCTGGCCAGCGTCCCCCGAGGGTTAGTTACCTCGAGCTCAGGGTAGCTGAGCACCACCAAGGAGGCGCAGGCGCTGACACTGTCGCCCTTCACAAAGGAGACATCCACGCCCCCGACCCTCTGCAGGCCCGAGAAGGCGGGGTCCCGCTGCCACGCCTCCGTGTCCCGGTCCACCACGCGGGCCTTCAGCCGGGCTTGCTCCCTGAGGGCAGACACACGTCCAGCCGGCCGCTCCGCCCAGCTCCCCCACCCCGCGGACCCGCTGCGGCCCCCTACGCGGAGACCCAGGCCCAGGGGTGGGCACTCTTCTCGGGACCCCTCCCGGTCTCACCTCCTCCGACCCCGGGGCCCTTCCCGGTCTCACCCGCCTCCCCGGGAACCCCAGACCCGGCGCCGGAAGCGGGGCGCTGCTGACCCCGCGGACTACAACTCCCGAAGGCCCTTCCGCCCGCGCGCCGGAAGCAGCCCCGGGTCCCCGCGGCCTCAAAGCCAGGGTCAGGAGGTCGGAGGTTCACGGGGAGCCGCGTCGCTCCTGCCCCGGGGTCTTGCGTGTTCTCCGACCCCATTACCGTTTCCAGAGCGAGAAAGTTTCCTCCGCCGGCCGCCCTACCGCCTCCCGGGCCATGGCGCAGTCGCGTGCATCCCTTCCGGTGTTGTCACTTCCGGATGCGCCGCGCGCAGGCGCCGTACGACCTTCGTTGCCATGACGACGCTCGGTGGGGCCGGTCGGGCCTGCCCGTCGGGCTTCGCAGACGCTGCCGCCTGGTGGCCGGAGGCCCCGCAGGGCACCCGCGCGCATCCAGCCGCGCCTCCTACGCCGCCCTCGGGAGGACTAGCAGCGCAGGGGAGCCGGGCCGCCGCCGTCCGCCGAGGGGCCGCAGCCGCCAGCCGCTCCGCGCCCGATGGACCGGCTGACCGAACCTGCCGGCCGCCGCCCCGGCCCCGTCCCGGCAGGCAGAGCCGGCCTTTCCCCGACCGCGCCAGGGGGGCCTGCGTGGAGGGAGGAAAGTTGTCCCCTCCTGCGGTCCTCGCGGGTCTGGAAATTCAGCTGACACAGATGGACGGGAGAGAAGCATGCACGTTTGCTGAACTTTTCCCTAGACGCGGAGGCTTCACCGGAGAATGAAGACCCGAAGACCGGAGCGGGAAGCTCTATACCTTTTAGAAAAAGAAACAATGAATTTGTGGAGAATTGGCAAGACGGAGGGGTCGTGAGCGGTGAAGGCCCGGCAGGGTTTGCTCATACGCCTCCCCGCCCTGCATTCCCCGACACTGGCCATATGGACGTCTCCCTTCCTCTTGGTACCGGGAGCGGACCTTCCACCTGGCGGATTCAGAGGGAGAGGCGGGCGAGCAGGTGACCTTCCTGCCTCCGCCGTGCTCTCAGACTCCTTCCGCTGACGATGTTCAGTGTGCCAAGGTGCCAGCCACATTTTGGGGCAGCGTGTCCCTAAGGCCGTCCCGGAGCATCTGCCGTTTACACGGCACCTTGACTCCGGTTTCAGTGGCCGTCTGAAGTGTTTGAGGGCAGGACACAGCCCTTAGCCCGGCAGACGCACAAATTCCGCCGGGTGGCTCTTGGGCAGAAAGCCTTACCCACCAGACCAAACACGGACTGGCTCTGGAACATTGGCTCTTCTTGGAGCTCCTCGATTTCGTGAATATTTGTCTCTTCGTTCTGGGCGTTGTGCTGGATGCTGGGATTACAGCTGGCTCAGGGTGTGACTGCACTTGTGCTAAGCGCTCCGGAGAGAATAATACTGGAGCCTACTTTAAACTGTAGGTGGGAAAGTCCTCTCTGAGGGGTGGTATTTAAGAGGTGACCTGAAGGGCGAGGAAGACAGAGCATTTCAGGTAAAGGGCACAGCATGTGTAAAGGTCCTGAGGTAGGAAGAGGTTGGTGCCTCTGCGGTGCTGAAGAGCAGCCAGCCAGGCCCACGTGCAGCAGTTTCATCCGTGGTTTATATTCTCCCAGGGGAACTCAGAGAAGTATATGGATAAGTGATGTAGTCTGAATATAGATCTCAAGAGGAAAATATGGAAGACGAGGATTAGAGTTTGCGATTCAGGAAAGGCTTCTTACGGCATTTGACCACTGGGGGAGCCTTGAGAGATGGTGAGTTTTCAGCTGGGAGAGGGAATGGGGACCATTTCTTGAGCAGCCGTTGCACAGCAGGCACCACGCTCACATTTTTACCTGCACTGTGTGAAGGCAAGGAGGGCAGGTTGTTTTAGGATCTGTAAGTCCTGGGCCCTGTGCAGGTGTTCTGGCCAGGACCCTTGCCCTCTGGTCTCTCTGCTCCTGCCCTGGGTGGCTTCCCGAGATACTCCCACCTCCTCAGGAGGCAGGGTCCTGCTGTCCCCAGAATGCGCTTCAGAGTCTGATGAGGCGTGAATTCTGCCAGCATTTTCTTTGTGGGGGAAAGCACTTTCCTGGTGTTTGTTTTTCCAGTTGGAAGCGGGATTCATAATGCTCGAGCATAAGCTTCATTAGTGACCAGAAGGGATTAGAAAATGCAGAAAGCAATATAAATGCGAATCGTGGCTTAGAGGGATTGTTATTCAGCTCCAGGCCTCAGGTTTCCTCCTTCCGCCTCCCATCTAGCCTCTCTCCAGGCCCAAGTGACAGAGCAACCGTACACTTAGCACCTATCCTATTAGGGCAGAGATGTGGTAGTGCACTGTCCACGTGGCTGGAGGTGGGTGGCTTTACCCACCACACAGGGCCCTTTGACCTGATGTTCTCTCTTTTTTGGTGAGGAAGATTAGCCCTGAGCTAACATTTATTGCCAATCCTCCTCTTTTTGCTTGAGGAAGAGTGTCCCTGAGATAACATCTGTGCCAGTCTTCCTCTACTTTATATGTAGGACGCCACAACATGGCTTGATGAGTGGTGCATAGGTCCGGGCCCGGGGTCCAAACCTGTGAACCCTGGGCCGCCGAACAGAGTGTGTGAACTTAACCGCTGCACCACCAGGCCGGCCCCGGACCTGATGTTTTCTTCACAATGATTGTTTACCACTGCACGTTTGTTTCTAGGTTGGAACTGCCTGTAGGAATAATAGAAATAGCTCATGACTGTCTCAGTTAACAAACCCTATAGCCATTAACGAAGGTAAATAAGTTACACACTCAGTAAGGTCTTAAAGAGGAGATGGTGCTCAGTTGTGAACATTTTCCGGTAAGTCACCACCAACATAGTGACTGTTTCTGCCTGGGCTGAAAGCAGGAAGACCTGTGCAATGGGGAATGTCTAGACGAATGACTGAATGGAACCGAGACTGAGGAGGAGGACGTGGGGAGGGGAAGGTTAGGATTGGTGATGAGATACTGACGAAATGGGATTGGTGCTTGAAAGAGAAACTGAGGCGGAAGGAGAGTCTGGCTGCGGAGTGCAGGTCCCCCTTCGTAAGCCAGTACCTCTCTTCCAGCTGCAGTTCCGCACTGCAGCTTCTCTCCCGCAGGAGCCTTTCTTTTTGGAAAGGAAAACGCAATTTTCCCCAAAAGTGGTATTTTGCCACTTGAACGTAAGTGGGCTGCTGGAAGCATATTATTTCTCGCCCATGTCTTTGCTTCCTTTTACCGAGGAGCCGTTTCCCCACCCACTGACAGAGGGTTGCTCCTGCTCATTGCTGTCTGGGCCCTGCTGTCTTCCAGGGAGGCCACTTCAGGCAGGAAGGGTGGACGCCCCTCTGAGCCCTCCAGGACTGGCGACTGGGGAGTGGTGGGGGACTCCCCATGTATCTCAGTCTTCTGCCATTTCATCCAGAAGTTTGCCCTCACGTTCGAAACCTGAGTGTATGTTTTCTCTCTGGTACCTTCTACTTTATGGTTCTACAGAACATTTCCACAAACAAACAAAACCAGTCTCAAAACCCTAGTTGATTCTATTTGCCATACATAGAAGTTCTGCCCCCAAAGAGAAGGATTCTTAGCAGCAAAACTCAAGTTTATTAAAACAGGACTGACAAGTATAATAAAATTTACATTTGCTTGCGCTAGGCCAGGGTGATTTTGTACAAACAAGATGATGCCAGATAATGACAATTAAGGCTTTGAAAGCGTAGCATATAAAACAAAATATCTTAATTAAAAAAACCTTCATAAAAGTGGGGGGAAAAATCCCAGCCAAAAAAAAAAAAAAGTATTCACAGCAAGAGCTTGACACCTGACCCCCACCTGCTAAGGTGTGGCACAGCGAGGGACCAGAGCAGCACCTGCTGGCCAGGCCAGCTCTGCCCCCACTCTGAGGTATCGAAGGAGTTACAAGTGCAAGTTGAAGAGTTGAACAAGCAACTCCCCACCCCCACATCCGTTGAACAGGCAATCCAGGATGCTGATGTTGGGGGGAGCGCCTTTGCGTAGTCCAGAATGACCAGACAATCATGGGTTACCAGTGCAAGGGGCTACGGTATCGAGCGAGTCCCTGCGGGTTCTGGATCACTGTATTCCCCTCCAGCAAACATAGGTAGAAAAGCAACAGTGAAAGGGGCTGCAGTCCCTTCTGCAGCTCCCTCCAGCGGTGCCACGGTGTCCTCGGGGCTCTTGGCAAGCATGGTCTGTTTTTGTGGCTCGCACCCCACGGGCCCAATTTCAAGTTGACTGAGTCATTAACTCATTTGGAATGTATGTTCAAGACGTTTGCCTCTGACTTGTAAACAATCGCTGTCTCAGTGCTAATGGGTGTTGAGATACCTAGGAATAGGAATAAGTCCAGAGAGGTCACAATTATCCAAGTAGGTTTGGGAAAAAATGACACAATGCCCACAGTGGGAAAGTCAGCTCATGGTCACGGCTGGTCGACTATTTTTCCTTTTTCAGAAACTCAACTGGTTTTATATTCTCTCTGAGTCTGTTTTTATGCCAGGGCTGAGACCCAGAGAAAGGACCAGATAGTCATACACAGGAAAATCAAGGTCACACTAAGACCATATGTTTATTTGGCAGAATGCTAGACAGTCAAAAACTGCCCACAGGAATGCTAGAACCAGGCCTTTGATCCAAGTTTACACTGATGAACTTTCATTTAGAATCTACTAGAATAGGAAGGAAATTTGGCCATCAATCCAGTCCCTTCGTTATCTAGATGAGGTAACTAAGACCCCAAAGTGTCCCTGGCTCTTAGTCTAGTGCTCTTCACAATGACAGCTTTTTGGCTCTGACCCTAGAAATTTGGCAGTGACTCATTAGGGGGCCTGGGTGAGGTCTTGTTTGGCCTCTAGGCACTCAGAGAATGCCCGGACTTGTATTTGTGAGAAGACAAAAAAGGAGTCTGGCGTTTTTTTCACATCTTGGGAACCTAAAAATATTTGTCCAATACTCAGAATTGAAAGGAATGGAAGAAAGAAGAAAGCCAGACTCTGCTCTGTGAGTGCAGAATATAAATGAGAAAAAAAAAAGTAGAAGCAAAAATTAATAACTGCATTTCCCTCCCTCTGTGTAGTAGTGAGAGGAAAAGGGCCCTGGAAGTTAAGAGGCTGGGAGCCTGTGCCACAGACCGCTCCTGTATGTGAAGCCAAGCAGCTACTTTTTTGGTCTCCCCTGGAATGTAAAGGATGGTGGTTTATTCCAACTTCATGTACTCTTCACTTCTCGCCACCTAATGAACAGTATTCATAACATGACGAGACAGTTCTGCAATATACACATGCTCCTGAAACGGCTTGGCTCTCAAAACGTCGTCAGCCGGTACAGCACGTCTCGGTCTTGAATTCAGTGCTGTGCCAACAGCTTTCCTTCTCAGCACTCACGAAAGCGACAGTCCGTGATGGAGCCCATCCCCTGAGTGAGGCGGGAACAGCCTTCTCTCCCTGTCT